CCCCCCAGCCCCCAAAGGGTGTGCGCCCGAGGGAGGGGGGGGGCAGGGGACCATGCGGAGGCCCCTTCCACGGGTGGGGCGGGCGGGGTCAGGAGGGGTGGGCGGAGGGGAGATCTGAGTGTCTGGACTTCTCATTGCCCTTTGCGAACTGGGACTAAATTCAGAAGAAAAACACAGGCTACTTTGAACTCAGGAAAAAAGTCAAGTCCACTCGGAACAGAAGCTCCCCCAGCCCCAACCGTGGGCAGCTCCGCCCGCTCACCGGCCCAGACCCCCGCCTCCCACGACAGCGGGGTTTTGGGCAGAAACAGCTGGGAAGGACCCGAGGACATTGGGGTACAGGTCGGCTTAGACCAGGGAGGAGCCAGGCAGGGGAGGGGCAGCTCCTGGTGCCAGGCAGGGCTGGAGGAGGCAGCGGGCAGAAACATGGCAGGTGGCTACTCCAGAAGCCAGGACAGAAACGGCTCCTCGCCCTCAGGAGCAATCATGGCTCCTTAGATGTCTGTGGAATGAATAGGTGGTTCATGGCGGTGTGAGGAAGGCCAGCTGTGGCCAGCCCCCTGCTGCCATGTGGAGCTCTGCCTCTAGGCCCCCATCCTTCTCCTGTCAGTCACTCACCCCACAGACACCCCTGAGCACCCAGTGTGTGTGCCAGGCTCTGACTCTGGGGAACTCTGAGTCTCCTAGAGTAGACAGCGCCACTGAGCAGACTCTGGAGTGAGGAGAGGAGGCACTGTAGTGAGTGCTGATGCCTGGAGCTGAGCTCTCCTGGAAACAGACAGCACAAACCCAGGCTGCCTCCACTAGGTATCATGGAATTTGTCTGCAGGACAACATCACACCAACCACATGCATGTGGGGCCATGAGATAAGTGCACAGGAGACCCAGACGTGCCCAGTGAGTCCTGAGCTGTGCTTCTGCTGGTGTTTCGTGGAAGGGAGAAGCAGTTTTTCACAAGGGCCGAGCAGGCATGCCCAGGGCACCCTACTTGGCTTCAAATCCCAGCTCAGGACTCATTTCCTGTGTGACCTCGGGACAGTCATCCTACCCCCCCACCCCAGGCTTGTTCCTTTTCTATGAGCAGGTGTGATGGTTAGTACCCACCTCGGGCACCTGTCCTGGACAGTGGTGTTGACAGTGGAGATCTTCCCAGGGAAGCCCTGTTCTAGCTCTTAGACATTTTTTTCTTGCCTTTTTATTTTTATTTTATTTTATTTTAACTTTTTGTTGTTGTTGTTGTTGTTAGTGCTAAACCTCACTGGAGGATATATTTTCCATTGATATTTAGAGAGAGTGGAAAGGAGGCAAAGAGACAGAGAGAAACATGTATTGAAAGAGACACATTGATTGGTTGCCTCCCCCAAGCACGGGACCAGGGCCCAGGATCCTGCCCCCAACCAGTACATGACCTTGACTGAAATGGAACCCAGGACCTTCATTCAGTCCATTGGGCTCAGTGACCGCAGACCCATAGGTCTCCCCTGCAGGTGCCAGGACAAGCATCTCAGAAGCACCCACATCTTTCATTCCAGTCTGACTGGGAAGTGGTTACTCGGGAGCAGGAAAGCTGACCGCCACCATTTTTGGGGAAGTTTCAGACCAATCAATGAACACAAGCTCGGATAAAAAAAAGTATTTGGAGAAGGCCACTACAACGAGTGTAATTGAGCCCATACTTATGTACCATTATATTGTAAACTCATTATTTGAACAGTTCAATGAAAGATTCAACCAATTTAGAAGCATAGAACAGACCATTAAAATAATTAAGTATCTGGATGTAGTTGTTTACAGTACTTTGGAATTAAAGGATTTCCAATGGATACAAATTGAGGATTTTCAAGGTAGCATTTGAACTCATGTGTTTGTCAACTTAAGGTTGAAACTTGAAAATCTGGAATGAAATCGTTTGAATAATGAAGAAGATTGCAACTATGGGTCTGAAACATGGTGTCTGTGGGTCTGACATGAGAGCCTGTGTGTGTGACATGAGGGGCCTGTGGGTGTGACATGAGGGCCTGTGTGTCTGACATGAGGGGCCTGTGGGTGTGACATGAGGGCCTATGTGTCTGACATGAGGGGCCTGTGGGTGTGACATGAGGGCCTGTGTGTCTGACATGAGGGGCCTGTGGGTGTGACATGAGGGGCCTGTGTGTCTGACATGAGGGGCCTGTGGGTCTGATCTGTGCCCTTGACCCATGCCCCCTGGAGCCAGGGGCCCGGCTGGGAGCAGTACCCACCTCAGAGCCCAAGGACCTCCAGCCGGCTTCCAAGGGCCCGGCTGGGAGCAGTACCCACCTCAGAGCCCAAGGACCTCCAGCCGGCTTCCAATGATCCCTCCCCAGCCCGTGTCACATGGAGCAGAAGAGGGGCCGCTGAGCGCAGTCAGCCCGCAGAACAGGAGTCAAGGCTATGACTGTGGGATTGTGGTTTCCCGGCCACAGAGGCCGGGAGCACAGCCCATGTGAGTCACTGCTGTGCGCGTTCTCATCATTCCCTGTCCTTCCTGTCACACTGTGAGCATCAGGAAAGCTGGGGTTTTTTTTCTTTGATTATTAGAGAGAGTAAGAGGGGAGATAGAGAGAGAGAGAAAGAGAGAGAGAGAGAGAGAGAGAGAGAGAGAGAGAGAGAGAGAGAGAGAGATGGAAACATGGATGGGCTGACTCCTGTAAGCACCCTACTGGGGTTGGATCCAGAAACCCCTCATGAACCGAACAGGGCATTTAACTGGGGACCTCCTGGTGCGGGGGTCCATGCTCAGCCTCGGAGCAACCCCTGCCAAGCAGTCGACTAGCCCCATGGTCGGCAAACTGCGGCTCCAGAGCCACAGGCAGCTCTTTGGCCCCTTGAGTGTGGCTCTTCCTAAGCCTTAGGAGTACCCTAATTAAGTTAATAACAATGTACTTACCTATATAGTTTAAGTTTAAAAAATTTGGCTCTCAAAAGAAATTTCAATCGTTGTACTGTTGATATTTGGCTCTGTTGACTAATGAGTTTGCCAACCACTGGGCTAGACCATCGACGTGTTAGGGCTCTTGATGTTCGCACAACGTCAAAGGCGCAGAAGCACCCATTTGTCAGAGGGTCCCCATCCTTAGGCGGCGCAGGGATGACTGTGAATGGATGGAACACATCAGAGCAGCGCGCTGTGCCCCTGAGCCTCCCGGTGCTCCCTGTCAGTTACACCTGAAGCCCTTCTAGAAGCTCCTGCGGGCTCCCTGGGCCACACTGGGCTCCCGTGGAGGAGCACTGAGCCGAGTCGCTGTGAAAATCACCGCAACTGCCATCCACAGGTTAGATCCTAAATAGTCACGCCCAGCAGCACAGGGTCCCAGGTGCTCCATGACCCTTAAAATCAGCAGCAAGGGACAAAGAACGAGGAGGCAGGAAGCAGGACATGGCAGGTCTGCGTCAGCCACGTGAGCGTCCCCAGAGGCAGGGAGGCAGAGAGCAGAAATGGAGGGCAGCACGTGGCAGTGTTAACGGGGCCGCCAGCATCAGGGTGCGGGGGGGTGGGGCTTTGGTCTCAGGGGACCATACGGGGAGGCCTTGCAGGGGAGAAGGTGCCATAGGCCAGAGGGTGACTCTGTGAGTGACCCACCGTGGAGACACCGGCTCAGGCCAGGGGGACAGTGACCATGGCAACGGAGATGGACCCCAAGATGGCAAAGCTCAAGTTGCACCCCGAGTGGGAGCAGAACCCCGTGTCTACATTACAGTGATGAACTGGAAACCCAAGTGGCACCTCTATCCCTGGCACCTTCCACACTGTCTAACAGGGTGTATCCATCCCATCAGCCAATATAGAGGGTCGGCCGTGTAAAAACATTGCAGGTGTGAGAAGCAACTCACTGAAAACCAAGCTCCTACCTTGATTTTGTCTGTAACACGCAGGAATCTCACAGAAATAGGAATGGACTAAACATACAGAAAATGGGTAAAACAACTCTTCATTCTCCAATGTGTTTGTCTTCCTCTAGAAAATAACCTCTCCACTGACGGAGGAGTGATGTTACCCAAGTCCAACATCAGAACTGTGCCATTGGAAGGTGGGTATTGCTCATATCCACCCTGAGATAAAATTTACATAAAATCTTCAATATTCCTTAAAAAAGAGAGACTTCTTTCAACAGCTGCACTGCTCAAAGGGAAAACGTATTTCCTGAATAATTTCCATGTAACTTTATTAACTTCCTTAGATTAGGAACTGACTTTAACATCTCACAGGGCAGCATTCATTTCACATTGATTGTTGGGGATTTAATATGATAAATGGTATTGATGAAATGATTACCGAGTAAGGATCATTATTGGTGATGTCTACATATTTATCATCTCAAATGTGATTTCATGAACCCAGGAGTTCCAGGGCCCCTCAGGAGCAGCAGGGAGGGGCTGACAGGGCAGAACAGGGCCCTAGAAGGAGGCAGGAGCAGGAGGAACCTGAACACCCATCTCTCCACACCACGGGGTCCTGTGTGCAGGGAGCCCTGGGCCTGTGGGACAATGACGGGCAAAATGCCTCCAGTGGCTATAAGATGGGGACACCCAGACAATGAGACCAAAGCTCTCACACAAAGGCAGGAACAGGCATACTATCCACCAAAAAAAGAGAGAAATAACAAACACCCAGGAGATGAGGGCAGAGGGTGGGACCCTGGATTGAGCTCAGGCTGCCCTGCCCAGGAGGGCCTCGCTGTCCAGGGTCCTGGAGATGCTGCTCTAGGACACGTGACAAGGCCTGGGGGAGGCCTGAATCTCTGTGACCACAGGTCCTGGTGGGACAGGGTTCCACTGAGGCACAAGGTCAGAGGAGCAGAGAGGTGACCCGGGCAATGAGTGACTACATCAAAGCCCACGATGCACTGAGCACTGACCATGCACAGGCCATGCACAGGCCCCAACCACGCTTCCTCCTCACAGCCCCTCCTGTCCCACCTGGGACAGGCTCAGCACTGCAAACACGTGGGTTCTGGAAAGTTCTCAGTGCTTCCATCCATTTCCTCTCAAACTTTAGGATCTTCTCCTTTAATTAACCCATCAATGCTCCATGGCAAGCAATGAACACAGTCACATCAGAGTCTCATTTGAATACGGAGCAGGAAGTGGCAGCTCAGAGCACCAAGGAGTAAAGGCAGGGATGGGGAGGGCCCAGCCCAACTCTATTGACAGGAAAGTGGGGGGTGCAGGGCGGGGCAGCCCCCCAATCAGAGGTTCTTGAGTCAAGAAGTGGGAGCATGAACATCTTCCACCACTCAGTCCCCACAAGGCAGCTGCCTCACGCTGTGGAGGACAAGCATCATGAACAGATTCAGGTCAGTGGCTGTAACTGGTGACATTCTCAAAGCCCACTTCATGCTCACAGTGTCCCACAGACTCCCCACCACCCAGTCCTCCCCTCTGCCAACCCCTCCCCTCGGTAGGGTTTCCCCTGTATAGGCCCAGAGAGACACATCAGAGCCCTGGGCATATCATTGCCTGGCGTGGACACAACAGGACGGGGTCAGACCCAGGACAGAAGATTCAAGGAGAAAATATGGGGAGTGGGTTCCCCCAATGGCTCTCATCTGCACTGTCTCAGGGACTCAGGGGTTCCCCCTCCATACTCACTGGCAGCCTGAGCATAGCTCCCTCCTGTTCCTCCTGCAGGAAGAAAACATCCCGTGAGAGACTAGGGAGGAGGCAGGGCCATGAGGTCCTAAAGAAAGCCCTAGTCCTGAGCCCCAGAGAAGTTTCCAGAACCCTGTGTATAGACCCAGGACAGGATCAGGAAAACTGAGGGAAGTGCATGTGTGAGGACTGGACCCATCGCCCTCCTGGAGGTCTATGCTCAGCAGGGACCTGCCCCCTGACCTGGGACTGCTGGGAACGGGGTCCCCACCACCAGCATCATCAGGTGATAAGTGGGTCCCTCATTTTCCCACGGACCTTACTACAGAGTAAGTGTGAGCACAGAGCCCCACACTGGCCATCACACGGGTGGGGATGGTGCTTCCCATAAAGGAGGCGGGACACACGTCTACCTGGGCTTGAACCCCCAGTGGGACAGACACTCAGACCCCACCCCTGCCCACCTGAGCGCCGTCTCCCCCACATCACAGCTCCAGACACAGCTCCCAGCAGAACCAGGACCCCAGCGATGCCCATGATGATGAAGATGAAGGTGTGAGAAGGAGGCTCTGGGAGGAGAAGGGAAGGGAGGGTGAGGGCCCTGACCCCAGGCCTCAGCCCCGACCCCACTGAGGTCCTCCAGGGCCCCTGCTGCCCTGAGAAGAGGCTCTGTGCCCACCGGCCCTCCTCACCCCATCTCAGGGTCAGGGGCTCGGGCAGCCCCTCATGCTGCACATGGCACGTGTATCTCTGCTCCTCTCCAGGGGGCACCCCCACGGCCGCCCACTTCTGGAAGGTGCCGTCCCCCGCAGGCCTGGTCTCCACCAGCTCCATGTCCTGGGTCTGGTCCTCCCCATCACGCTGCCAGGTCAGGCTGATGTCCGCAGGGTAGAAGCCCAGCGCCCAGCACCTCAGGGTGACCTCACGGGCAGAGACGGGGTGGTGGGTCACATGTGCCTTTGGAGGGTCTGAGGGGAGGGGAGAAAATGCAGGAACTTTGCAACCGCCATGGGACACTCCAGCAGTGCCCATGTGACCATCCTGAGAATGGACAGACACCTGGGTGGGGGAGGGAGCACACAGCCCACACACCAGCCTGGACAGAGGCACCTGGAAGGACCTTCTAGTCTTTAGAAAGTTCTAGAATCAGAGAGACACAGCCCAGGGCAGCAGGCCATGTGACTCAGAAAAGCTGGGGTGAGGCCTCGGACACAGTGGGTGTGGGCAGCACACAAGGCCTGAGAGAGAAGGTCCCGTTGGGTCCCAGAGCCCCTGCACGGCCCATGGGGACCGCTCATGGGCTCTTTCAGGGGGTCTCCCTGCAGCCCAGGAGAGCCTGCACCCCTAACTGCCCCTGAGAGGAGGGGGGTCCCTCTGGTACCTGACCTGCCATTCAGGGGTCTCCCTCCTTGACCCCACGGAGGGGTGTCTGACACTGACCCCCTGTGTTATCTTCTTGTAGGAGCCCCAGTCCCGGGAGAGGGGGCGGCCCCAGGGCCCCTGGTACCTGCGCGCTGCAGGGTCTCCTTCCCTTTTTCCAGGTGAATGCGGAGAAACTTCACACACAGGCCCTCCAGGTAGCTCCTGTCATGCTCTGCCACACCGGCCCCCTCCCACTTGCGCTTGGTGATCTGAGCCGCCATGTCGGCCGCGGTCCAGGAGGTCAGGTCCTCGTTCAGGGAGATGTAGTCGGCGCCATCGTAGGCGTATTGCTTGTACCCGCGGAGGAGGCGCCCGTCGGGTCCCAGGTCGCAGCCATACATGTTCTGGAAGGTGTGAGACCCTGACCCCGCCCCGCGGTCAGCACCGTCCCGCCAGCCCGGCGGGGACTGAATCTAAAACTGAAAGTGAAATCGGGTCAAAGTCCCCGCGGCTCCTCCCGGGTGGGGGCCGGGCGGGTCCCGCCGCCTCGGGGTGACGCTCGGACCCGGACCCTCGGGGCGACCCCGGCCCGTCCGTGGGGAGGGGGGTCGTGAGGGGCCCGGCGCGCGGCTCACCGTCCTCGCTGAGGTTGTAGTAGCCGCGCAGGTTCTGCAGGTTCACTCGGAAAGTCTGTGCGGCTCCCTTGGCCCTCAGCGTCTCCTCCTCCCAATACCCCGGGTCCTCCCGCTCCACCCACGGCTGCTGCATCCACGGCGCCCGCGGCTCCATCCTCGGATTCGGGGCGTCGCTGTCGAACCGCACGAACTGCGTGTCGTCCACGTAGCCGACTTCGAGGTATCGGGGTTCCCCGCGGCCCGGCCGGGACACGGCGGTGAGGAAATACCTCAGGGAGTGGGGGCCTGCGGGGCGGACGGAGGGCAGGGCCGGAGCTGGACACGCGCCTTCCCGGCCCCGCGCCCCCGCCGGGTCCCCTCGCTCCTCCAGCACCGCCGCCCCCTCCGACCCCGCACTCACCGGCCCAGCTGGGGGTCAGGACCAGCGCCCCCGTGAGCAGCAGGAGGAGGGTGGGGGGCCTCATGACCCGTATCCTCGGCGTCGGGGGGACCGTCTGAGTCCCCGCGCTTCCGCGGAGGAGTTGTAACCCGGAGCCGCGGGGACGCTGAATGGCTGCTCTGGAAACCGCTCAGCAATGGGAGTGAGAATCGTCTCCAGGCAGGAGTCGCCGACACAGGTTGGGAGAGGAGAAGTGAAACCAGGCGCTGGGGAGTCCCCACCACGGAGCTGCCCCCCAGACTCTGTCCCCTGCGGAGCCCTGAGCGCAGGCCTGGGCCCTGGGACTCGGTCCTGCCCCTCCTCCTGCGCGGGGCGCCCGTCACACTGTCCCCGAGGCCTAGCCAAGGCGCTGTGCTGTTCAGGGACTTTCCAAGGTTTTGGTGTCACCTTCTCTGTGGGGCCTCACACACAGGCAGGCGCCCAGATAACCTTGTGTGTGTGGTGACGTCATCACAGTGACCCCTCACGGAGTCACACAGGGTGAAGCTGTTATTAATCCATGTCGCTTGCTCACTGCCTGTGAGATGATAACAGGAGTCATGTTTTTCAAAAATATATGTTTTATATTGATTTCAGAGAAGAAGGAAGAGGAAGAGAGAGATAGAAACATCAATAATAAGAAATAATCATTGATCGGTTGCCTCCTACACGCCCCACACTGGGGATGGAGCCTACAACACAGGCATGTGCTCTGACAAAAAGTTGAGCTCTGACCTCCTGGCTCATAGGTCAATGTTAAACCACTGAGCCCCGCTGGCTGGGGAATATTGAATAGTTTCTGTTCTGTTCTGTCACAGTCCCCAGGGCTGTCTTGCTGGATGGCTCTTGTCCTCATGCAGGTGATGTAAAGTGATGCCTTGTGTCTCTAAGTCCTAGAGACCTTCCCGTGCTGATGCATTTAATCACGTCATCAAAGCTCACAGGTGTTGCTGTTCCCACAGAGCCCCCTAGAAAAGCGTGTCAGCACTGGGGAGCGGTCTAGCTCACGTGGTGGGACACACCTTGTTCCAACATTATGGTTTTCTCTTGGGAGCTGACATTGTATCAAGACAACAGGACTGTCAGTTGGCACCTGCCAGGTGATATTTCCTGAAGGGAGAAGCTCACGTTCATTTTTAAAAATATATATTTTTGTTGATTTCAGAGAGGAAGGAGAGGGAGGGAGAGAGACAGAAACATGAATGATGAGGAAGAATCTTGATTGGCCTCCTCCTGCTCGCCCCATTTGGCATTGAGCCCACATTGGAGGTTAGGCCCACCACTCGGACATGTGCCCTTGACTGGAATCAGACCTTCAGTCTGGAGGCTGATGCTCTACCCACCGGGCCAAACCAGCTTGGGCATTCATGTTCATTATTGAGAAAGTGTGAGCCAGTTCACCAAATCTCAGCAATACTAGTGTCTGTGCCATTTGTTCTTTTGTAACCATGGGCCAGGCCGGGTGTGGCTCAGTGGCTGAGCATTGACCTATGAACCAGGAGGCCAGGGTGCTATTCCCTGTGAGGCACCTGCAGAGTGTCGGGCTAGATCCCCAGTGGGGGGGCATTCAGGAGGCGCCCTATCCGTGGTTCTCTCCCATCATGGATGTTTCCATCTCTGTCTCCCTCTCAGTTCCTCTCTGAAATAAAAAATTTTTTAAAATATATTTTTATTGATTTCAGAGAGGAAGGGAGAGGGAGAGAGAGATAGAAACAACCATAGTGAGAGAGAATCATGGATCTGCTGCCTCCTGCACGTCCCCTACTGGGAATTGAGACCACATCCTGGGCATGTGCCCTCGACCTGAATCAAACCTGGGACTCTACAGTCCGCAGACCTATGCTCCAACCATAGAGACAAAAAAGCTAGGGCTCAATTTTTTTTTTATAAATGTAAACATGGGCCCTAACCGGTAGGAGGTGTGCAGGAGGCAGCTGATCAATGTTTCTCTGTCATCAATGTTTCTAACTCTCTAAGAAGAGAGAGTGGGGCAAAAAAGAGATTTGTCTGTCCAGGTATCTCTGCCTCCATTGGTTGATTCTTGTATGTGCCCTGATCCAGTGCTCTAACCAAGTGGGCTACGCAGCCAGGACCTAACTATTTTTTAAAGGGTTCAGTTTCAGGCCACAAAGTGCCTTGGACATGCTGTGGGACCCTCCCCACTGTCTGGGTCCAGAACCTCATTTTCGTCACCACAAAAGAAATTCTTATTAAAAGAATTTCTGAGTTACCACTCAGTAGAAATACTATCAAAGAATAATAGGTCTTAACAAAAATGTACAACATCAATTAAAAAAAGACTTAAATAGTTGTAAATATTTTTTTATTTCTCTTGATGAAACTACTGATGTCACATCAAATGCTCGGTTGGCCATTATTGCTAGATATTCTGATGGTCTCACAATGAGAGAAGAGTTGATAAAGTTAGAATCAGTGCCAATAAGTACATCAGGAAACCAAATATGTAAGGTTGTTATAAAAACATTCAGTGACCTAAACATTGATATCTCTAAAATTGTGTCAGTCACGACAGATGGGGCACCAAATATGGTGTGAAAAAATGTGGGATTTGTGAAATTGTCTATGGAAGCTATTAGACATCCACTTGTTTGGACCTTTATATTGATTTCAGAGAAGAAGGAAGAGGAAGAGAGAGATAGAAACATCAATAATAAGAAATAATTGGATGTTTCCATCTCTGTCTCCCTCAGGCGGTGTTGTGTGCCAAATCGGGATTCTCAGAATGGAATGATTTAATGTCAGTTGTAACAGAAATTGTGAATTTTATAGCTTCTCAACCCCTTCACAAGCGAGAATTTTCTGCACTTTTACAGGAAGTTGATTCAACCTACAATGGACTAGTGATGTTCAATATGTGAGATGGCTGAGTCGAGGTAAAGTACTTGAGCGATTTGTGGAGTGCTTTGAATAAATTATGGTATTTATTGACAATAAGGATCTGGCAAACTTTCCTCGGATCAATGATCATAAGTGGGTCAGCAATTTGATGTTTTTTACAGATCTCTCTGTTCATGTGAATGAACTGAACTTAAAATTACAAGGTTTTGGCAAAAGTATTGACGTGATGTTTGGATACATCAAATCTTTTGAAAGTAAACTTAAAATTTTCAAGCGAGATATTGAAACTAAAACTTATGAGTATTTTCCTCGGGTAAAAAAGTATTTCGAGAAGGCCACTGCAACGAGTGTAATGGAGTCTATACTTATTTACCAGAATATAGTAAACCCGTTATTTGAACAGTTCAGCGAAAGATTCAACCAATTTAGAAGCGTAGAACAGACCTTAAAATAATTAGGTATCTGGATGTAGTTGTCTACAGTACTTTGGAATTAAAGGATTTCAAATGGATGCAAACTGATGATTTAGAGATGCAACTTGCAGATTTTCAAGGTAGCATTTGGACTCATGTGTTTGTTGACTTAAGGTCGAAACTTGAACATCTGGAACGAAATCGTTTGAATAATAAAGAAGAGTGCAACTACGAACAAGAAATTTTGAGTGCTTCGAACAGAGTACCTGGCACTTTTAGCGACATAAAAAAATCTAGCGATGGCTTTGCTAACAATTTTTTCATCAACGTATTTTTGTGAGACTTTGTTCTCAGCATTAAATAATATTAAAACGAACAAAAGAAACCGGCTAACAGATGAAGTTAGTGGCTCTTGTTTGGCCTTGAAGTGAACCAAGTATGAACCTGCAATCGAAGAATTAGCAGACAAACATCAGCACCAAAAGTCACTAATTTCTAGTTTTTGTACCATTTGATTATCATTGTTTTTACTATTATTATTTCCTAAATGTACATTGTTTTTCTGTTTTTGTTCATTTTATACATATTTTTGGTTGATTTTTCTTTGTTGAATGGCATTTAAGTATATAAAATAAATCTCAAAAATATAAATCTTTTTTTACTATGGTTGCAAAAATATAAAAAAAAATTATGAATATTTCTATATGTGACACAGCACCAGAGTTAAGTTAGGGTTTTTCAAAATTTTGACACACCGAGCTCAAAAGGTTCGCCATCACTGGTTTAAACTGTTCAACCCTGGCTGGGTAGAACAGTTTAAACAGTTCAGTTGGTTATACCATTGTTTAGATATGCAAAGGTTTCAGGTTCAATTTCTGGTCACGGCACATACAAGAATCAGTGAATGTTGTCCAACCAGTGTGGCTCAGTGGTTGAGCATCAACCTATGAACCAGGAAGTCACGGTTCGATTCAGAGTCAGGGTACATACCCTGATTGAGGGCTTAATCCCCAATGGGGGTTGTGCAGGAGGCAGCCGATCAATGATTCTCTCTCATCACTGATGTTTCTCTCTCTCCCTCTCCCTTCCCCTCTGAAGTCAATAAAAAAAATATATTAAAAAAGAATCAATGAATGCATAACTGAAACAAATTAATGATTCTCTCTCTCTTTCTCTCTCTCTCCTTTTCTCCCTTCCTCTCTCTCAAAAACCAATGGAAAAAATATCCCTGGTTGAGGATTAACGAGAAAAACATAACAGAGTTCCAGTGAGAGTTGGATTGAGAGATGCTGATTCTGTTGAGACCAGAGTCACGGTGGGCTCTGAAAAGAGCCGGAACGGAGAAAACAGGGGAGTAGGCCCACTGCCCTGTCCCCTTTCTGGTGCTTAAATACACTCACCTTGAGCGGCGTGCAGGCATTAATTTATTTTTTTAATACATAAATTATTTATTTTTTTAACCTCCCTGGGTTAGTGTTACCACTTCCTGTGATGCTGTAGTCATTTCAAAATAAACCTAAAATGAAGCCCCATGGTGATCCGGGTGTGAGAACCAGGGTGGACCGGCTGTTGTTGAAGAATCACAGTATTACACCACCTGGGGGGCTCAGGGCACTAGCGTGCAGGGCCCATGCCCAGAGTTGCTGCTTCCGTAGGTTTCATTTTTAATTTTTTTCCAAATGCTCACCTGAGGATATATTTTCCATTGACTTTTATTTTTCTTACTATAGTTTTATTGATTACAGTGAGGAAGGAGAAGGAGAAAGGGATAGAAGCATCAATGCTGAGAGAATCATGGATTGG